AGGAATGGGGCAGAAAAAGTACACAGTGAGCTTGGAACATTGTGTTGTGCCAGAAAGTAAAGAAGTGCTCAGAGAATGATAAGTCCAGGTCAAAAGGACATAGAAACCAGATTGAAGGTACCCCCACTAGCCAAATCTGGGATAACTTGACACAATACATAAGAGTAGTAACTGATTTTCTTTAACCATTGAATAAAATAGGAATCCATGGGTCCATGCTGATATTGACAAATAAATGAATATATAAATGGGGAAAAGAGAAATCTGTCCTTGAGAGTAGGATGCCAACTGTATAGAAGGGATGATGAGTTAGAAAATCACCATTTGACAACCCCCACAGAAATATGTGACTCAGCCAAGCAACATCAATGGACGTTAAAACTGTGGATGAGGAATGAGATAGTTACATAAATCTCAAAGCACCTCCCTCCGAAGTACTTACTGATTACAAAGGGAAAAAGAGTCACTCGACAGTGGAAGGCATTCCTTTAATTAAGGGATCAAGGTCAAGTTGAAATTATGTGATCCCTGATAGGATGCATTGAGAAGCATGTGACAGAACTTGTATCTGATCATTAGCAGACATCAGACAAGCCAAATCTTCAAAAGTATAAGGTTAAGAGAGTCAAGAAAAGACTGAGGAATCATTCCAGATTGAATGAGACTACAGAGAAATGACAACAAAACGCAGCACCTGATACTGGATTAGATCTGCTTGCTTATGGATATTATTGAGACAATTGGAAAAACTTGAATGAGGTCAGTGGATTAGGTGATAGTAATATATTCATATTCTTTTCTTGATTCTGATGGTTATGTTGTGATTCTGTGGAAAGACGTCCTTGTTTTAAGAGGATACACACTCAAATATTGGGGGATGTGGAGACATCCTATTGGCAAATTGCTCTGAAATTGTTAAGGGGGAAAAGTTATTTGTACTGTTCTTAATAACTTTCAGTTTGAAATTATCTCTACATAAAAAGAGATAAAGAAAGGATACAAAACTCAACAAAGTGTGTGATCTTGACTATGTCAACAAAAACTTGCAATAAATAAAGAATAAGTGAAAGTTATTCTATCCATCAAATTGTGCGTAATGTTTTCTCCTGGTTTTTAATTCTCCTCTACAGTGATGCATGTCTCTCTCCTTCACTGTGCTGTGTGTCTGCGGCTGCTATCTCTCTCCTCTTTGATTCGCCCTGCTAGAGGCAGTTTTATGACCAACAGTGTGGGTTCTGGTAGTGGACAGATCTGAGATAAAACACTTAATTTCCAAAGCCTCACTTTTCCCATATGTGCAATAGGATTAACTATATTTCCTACTGTTTGAGGCAACCGTGAGAACTGAATGTGCCAGTGTTAAAGTGCTTATCATGTGTGATAATTTTGTGAATCAACTTGACTGTGCCCTGGGATGCCCAGATATCAATTAAACAGTATTTCTGGGTGTGCCTAATGTGGGTGTTTCCTGAGGAGATTAGCATTTGAATTGGTGGATGGGCAAAGCAGATGGCCCTCTCCAGTGTGAGAGGACAGCATTTGATGCATTGAGCGCCTGAATAGAATCAAAAGATGGAAGAAGGGGTTGAGCTGGGACATAGACCTTCTCCTGCCCGTGGTGCTCCTGGTTCTCAGTCCATCAGACAGACTAGAATCTACATCATTGACTTTCTGGCTTTCAGGCCGTAAAACTACACCACCAGCTTTCTTTGGCCTCCAGCTTGCAGACAGCAAATCCTGTGATTTCTCAACCTCCATAATTATGTGAGCAATTCAATTCTTTTCTTTTCTTTTTTTTTTTTTTTTTTAACACAAGGTCTCACTCTGTTGCCCAGGCTGCACTGGCCCAATCTCAGCTCACTGCAGCCTCAGACTCCTGGATTCAAGCAATCCTCCCACCTCACTCTCCTGAGTAGCTGAGACTACAGGCGCATGCCACTACATTCAGCAAATTAATTTTTTTTTTTTTTTGTCAAAACCAAGTCTCATTATATTGCACAGGCTGGTCTTGAACTCTTGGGCTCAAGGGATCCTTCTGCCTTGGCCTCCCCAAGTGCTGGAGTTACAGGCATTAGCCACCACATCCAGGGTGAGCCAATTCTTTAAAATAAATCTCTCTCTCTCTATGTATATATATATATATATATATATATGCACACATATGTATGTATATGTATAGATACATATTATATATATGTATATATACATACACACTATGGTGTATGGTATTATGATGTATTAGGGTTCTCCAGAGAAACAGAACTTATGTGTATATATAACACACATACATATATATACACATATACATATATAAACATATACATATACATGTATATGTATATATGTGTGTGTGTGTATATATATATAAATTAGTTCTGTTTCTTTGGAGAACCCTAATACAACACAGTACCTAGCCATTAGCTGAATGCCCAATAAATGCTATTATTATTATCCTAATTATAGTCTTTTCAAAGACCCAACTCTTAGATTTCTCAGATCTATAGTTTTTATTCTTTTTATTATTATCTAATTTATTATCTTCAAATTTTTCTTCTAACTTTTCATAGTTTTACTGACTTTGCCCTTTTACTTGCTTTATTGAGTTGAGAACTTAATTCATTTAATTTATTTCTTCTGTTTAATAAGAAAAACATAAAACTATATATATTTTGCTCTTTAGAGCTTTTATGTTCTCTTTGCTATGGCTTCCCATTGTTTTCTAAATAATGATTCATTAGTTGCAGTCTTGATTTCCTCTTTGACTCTAGGGCTATTAAAACTATTTTACACCCTTCTAGAGTGGCTTCAGTTTATTTCTTTGTTTTTCCTTTTGTTTTTAAAGTGTAGTTTAGCTGCATTGTGGTTGAGTTTGTGCATTGTACTATTCTGCATTTTAGATTTTAATGAGATTCTCCTTGTGGCCTAAGATATGATCAAATTTTGTAATTGTTTCTTGGTCATTTGAAATGAATATGCATTCCATTTCTAGGAACACATTTTGATATGAATCTATGAAGCCAAAGTTTAATAATAATTTTCAATCATTCTATATTCTTATTTAATGCCTGCCTACTTGATCTCTCAGAAATGATAAGGTATGTTTGGTGTTCTTTTATGGCTGTGGTTTTATTGAATTTCTCTTTAATACTTAACCTTTTTGGACTTGTACATTTGATGCTTTATTCAGTGTACACAGATTCATGGATCTTATATTCTCATCTGGTTTACATCACTTAGCAATATCCCTTGCAATGCTTTTTTTGTTGTGAATTGTACTGTCTTATATTAATATTGCTTTCTTTTTGTTTGTACTTGGGTAGTGGATACCCAGTAGATTGTTCACCCTTTCCCAGAAGGTGGTCTACTTTATAGGAAGCCATGGAAGACCCTCTCAAGCCACACTTGTTTGCTCCAGAGATGGGCATATGACCATGCTGGGCCAATCAGATACTCCCCGAGTGGTGGGAATTGGGACCAACAGGTTACACTTAGTTTTGCTGTTCTCTAGATTTGAGGGGATACACACTTGGGGCTGCCTGTGCTATAGCCATCTTCCTCCAGGGGAAGACAGAAAACAGAGGACATATATTGCTGCAAATGTGGAAAATGAAGGCAATGCACAAGAGACCCAGGGATGAGAGATGGGAAAGAGTCCTCACAGCATGGAGTTCCCTGTGTCATTCTAGTTCTGAGCCTCTAGAGTCAGGGAATTTCATCATTCATCTCATGATAATGCTCTCTGTTCTTCATTCTTCCTTATACTCCCCCTTGCCATTTTCCTGTCTCCTCAAGTTTACCTTGCAAGTTTTTTTTATACAGTCATGCATCACAACGACAGGGATTCATTCTGAGAAATACATCTCTAGGCAATTTTGTGATTGTGTGAACATCATGGAGGGTCCTTACACAAATCTAGATGGTATAGCCTACTACACAGCTAGGCTATATGGTATGACCTATTGCTCCCAGGGTACAAATCTCTACAGCATGTTATGTGCTGAATACTATAGGCCATTGTAGCACAGTTGTAAGTATTTGTGCATCTAAACATAGAAAAGGTACAGTGAAAATATAGTATTAAAATGTTAGGGGACCACCATTGCATATGTGGTCCTTCATTGGCCAAAATGTGGTGATGTGGTATATGACTGTATTTAAATATTAGAAAATTATACTGTCTATTTTTAGTCTACTACTTCTTCCCTTAAACAAATACACCCACATTGCATATATATATATATATATATATATATATATATATGTACTCTCTCTCTCTCTCTGTCTCTCTGTAATATATACATATATATACACACACACTACATGTATATAGTAGTATACTATATATATACTGCTCTATGTATACTCTATATATACTACATGTACATAGTAGTATACTATATATATATATAGAGAGAGAGAGAGAGAGACAGAGAGAGAGAGAGACAGACAGAGAGAGAGAGGCAGAGAGAGAGAGAGAGAGAGTATATTGTTTCTTCAACCTCAAAAGGAACATGGTATGTATTTATTTCCCCCGTGTGGGATGATTTCATGCTAATTGCCTCCCCACTTCTATTTCCCATTTTTTCTTGATATAATGATGTTTTAGATGAAGATTATTATCATGAATTTGTTTCTTACATTTATGTATCTTATTTTTCAGTAATTATTTTAGACATTTCTATTACTTTTCAAATCATGTTAATATCAATTTTTAATGTTAACTCTATTATATATCTAATTTCTACTTATTATTATCTAACTTCTACTTATGTATCTAATTTCTACTGATTTTTCCATTTTTTTCTTGCTTAGCTGGCACTGCTTTGAGCAAATATTTCTGGTTGGTTGAGGGAGTGATATACATTCTAAATGCTTACATGCTTCAAAATGTGTTAATTGCCATCACAGATGAATTATAACCTTCATGTTTCAATTGCAGTCTGTTCCCCTTGGAACTTTGTAGATATTACTATATTGGTCATATTTCTTTTTGTATTTAGGATTGTAGAGGAGAAGTCTGATTCCAATTCAGTCCTCTTCACCCTGAAAGGTAAGCCACCACCCTCCTTCCACTGTACAAATACATAAAGGATTTTAAAATTTATCCCTGACATCCTAATATTTCACCAGGAGATATTTAAGCTTGGCTTGTCATTCATTAATAATGCTTGATTTTTCCAGAGGAACTTTTGTTTCTGAGGTTGAAGATACTGTCCATCTCTCATGTTTCCTTCTTGATCCATCTGCTCCTCTTTCTCCTTCTGGAATGGCAATGAAGTTGTTTTAAAATATGGGTTTTATTATTATTCAGGTGTGGTGAGGCCAACAGATCAGGAGAAAACCACCATTGAAAAGATGGTTTATTACATACAGTTCCAAGAGTAGAAGGCATACACACCATAGGTGCAAGTGGGAGGGACTCTGGGAAGCACAAGGATCAGCTAGGAGGCAGAGGGAGTGGGGAAAATGTGGACAAGAAACCTTTACTGTAGTTTCCATGGGAAGGAATGGGTGAAGCAGGGTAGGCATGCTTAGGATAGCTAGTTTGAATAATTTCAGCAGCTCTGGGATGTAGAAGCTGTCCCTAGATGCCTGATACCTGGCTCTGGGATGATTAGAGTGGCTGGATAGTGACCCAGAGGGTGAGAAACCTGTGAGAGCCCCATAAAGGAGATAGTTAGGGGTCCAGACTCTGGATTGGTTAGTTTGCATTTGAAAGGCATGCTTACAAAGAAGTTCTTTAGTATCTCTAGAAATTGACTAGCCCTGGGAGAGGTGTTCTCTCCAGGGTCAGCAAGGCCCCAGCTTTTGAAGTACCAGAAATATAGAAAATAAAAAAGCATGATAAGTATAGAAGTAGTTATCAGAAGTCTCCTCCGAATAACTCTGCTGTATCTGTAGTTATATATGCTTGTTTCTAGTAATGATATGTTAAAGAAAATATTATTATTATAACGTATTATTTAGCTCTCCGTTTGCTTTCCATACTACCAAAGGTTTCTATATAGTCATACACCGCATAACAACATTTCATTCAACAACGGAGTGCATATATGACAGTGGTACCATAAGATTATAATGGAGCTGAAGAATTCCTATCACCTAGTGACAGTGTAGCCATCATAACATCATAGTGCAACACATTGCTAACAAACCTACTGCGCTGCCAGTCATATAAAATTATAGCATGTACAATTATGTTCAGCATATACTTGAAAATGATAGTAAATGACTGTCATTAGTATATAGATTTGCTATACCATACTTTATATAATTATTTTAGAGTGTACTCTTTCTCCTTATATGAAAAGGTTAACTGTTAAACAGCCTCAAGCAGGTCTTTCAGGAGATATTCCAGATGGGATTGTTAGCGTAGGAGATGACAGCTCCATGCATGTTACTGCCCCGGCAGACCTTGCAGTGCGAAGGTGTGGAGGTGGAAGACAGAGTTAGTGATGATCCTGACCCCGTGGAGGCCTAAGCTAATGTGTGTGTTTATATCTTAGTTTTTAACAAAAAGCTTTAAGAAGTAAAGAAGAAGTTTTAAAACTAGGAAAAAGCTTATAGAATAAGGAAATAAATAATTTTTTATAGAGCTGTATAATGTGTTTGTGTTTTAAGCTGCGTGTGTAAAGCCAAAATGTTTAAAAATTAAAACACTTACAAAGTAAAAATAATTACAGTAATTTAAGGTTAATTTGTTATTGAGGAAAGAAAAATTATTGATGTAAGTTAAGTGTTGCCTAGTTGTTTATAAAGTCTACAGTAGCATACAGTAATGTCCTAGGCCTTCACATTTACCCACCGCTCACTCACTGACTCACCCAGAGAAACTTCCAGTTCTCCAAGCTCCATTCATGGTAAGTGACCTCTGTATACCATTTTTTTTTTACCTTTTATACTACATTTTTACTGTACCTGTTCTATGTTTAGAAACACAAATACATAACCATTGTGTTCCAATTGCATACAGTATTCAGTACAGAAACATGCTGTCCAGATTTGTAGCCTGGGAGCAATAGGCCATACCATACAGCATAGCGTGTAGTAGGCTGTAACATCTAGATTTGTGTACATGCACACTAAGTACAATGTTTGCACAGTGACAAAATTGCCTAATAATGCATTTCTCAGAATGTATCACCATTGTTAAATGATGTATAACTGTATTTCATTAGTTTTATTTACTTCCAGACAACCACTTTAAAAAAATTTCAACTTTTATTTTAGATATGGGGATACATATGCAGGTTTGTTACCTGGGAATATTGTGTGAAGAGGTTTGGAGTATGGATTCCATCACCATGATAGCAGGCATAGTACTTGATAGGTAGTTTTAAACCCACCCCACTCCCTCTACCCTCTAGTAGTCCACAGTCTATTGTTCCCATATTTATGTCTATGCATTCTCAGTGCTTAGCTCCTATATAATACTTTTGGTTTTCTGTTCCTGTGTTAATTTGCTTAGAATGTGGCCTCCAGCCGCATCCATGCTGCTTCCAAGGACATGATTTCATTCTTGTTTGTGGCTGCATAGTATTCCATAGTTGTATGTACCACATTTCTTTATCAATCTACCACTGATGGGCACTTGTGTTGTTTCCATGTCTTTGCTATTGTGAGTAGTGCAGCAATGAACATACAAGTACATGCATCTTTTTGGTAGAATGATTTATTTTCTTTTGGGTATGTCCCCAGTAATGGGATTGTTGGGATGAATGATAGCTTGGTTTTAAGCTCTTCAAAAACTACTTTTTATTTAATCATTCCTTTCTATTTTTATTTCTTTTTGTTTTATTATTTTTGGCTTTTATCTTTATTATTTCCTTTTTTACTATTTCCTTTTGTTTTTTTCCCATTATTCTATTTTCAACTTTTTGAGTTGAATCCCCAATCCACTTATTTTAAACCTTTCTCAATTTCTAGTAAATATATTTAGGTTTAGTCACATCTATCTGGGTATAGCTTGACAAATTCTGATGTGCCATGCCCTTCTGCTCTTCCCTCTCATCATTGTTCAGTTCTAAAACGTTCATAATTTTTATTGAGATTTCTTCTTTAACCCATACATTGTTTGGCAGTGGGATTGTTTTACTTGTTTGCTTCCAAACAAATATATCGGGCTTTTTTTTTTTTTTTTTTTTTTTTTTTTTTTTTTTTTTTTTTTTTTTTTTTTTTTTTTTTTTTTTTTTTTTTTTTTGAAGAAGGCCTCCGTTAATGGTTTGAGTTGTATTGTGTGGTGGTCAGAACATGCGGTCTGTATCTGTATCATATTGATAAGACTTCTTTTGACAGACAGTGCAAGCCAACTATAAATGACCATATATACTTATAAGGAGTGTGTGCTTTCTGTTGAGTGCAAAGTACTATATGACTCTATTACATCAAACCTCCTATAATTTTATTGTTTAAATCTTTTTATAATATGGGAAATGTTTGACTGCATGATCTGTTTATCTCTGAGAGAGTGGCCTTTTCTGATTGTGGATTTGTCCATTTCTTTTTTGATGCTATCAATTGCATAGTTTAAGTGTCTCAGTTGAATATAAGGCATTATGGTTATGCCATTAAATTTTTAAAAATTTATTTAATTTATTCCTATTTTTTTATTTTTTTTTGAGATGGAGTCTTGTTCTGTTGCCAGGCTGGAGTGCAGTGGCGCAATCTTGTCTCACTGCAACCTCCGCCTCCTGGGTTCAAGCGACTCTTCCACCTCAACCTCCTGAGTAGCTGGGACCACAGGCATGTGCCACCACGCCCGGCTAATTTTTGTGTTTTTAGTAGAGACGGGGCATCACCATGTTGGTTAGGATGGTCTCAATCTCTTGACCTCGTGATCTGCCCACCTCAGCCTCCCAAAGTGCTGGGATTACAGGCGTGAACCACCGTGCCAGGCCTCTTATTTATTTATTTATGTTAGAGAGTGGGTCTCACTCTTCGGCCTGGGCTATAGTGCAGGGTGCCATCATAGCTCATGGTAACATTGAACTTCTGGGCCTCAGCCTCTTGAGTAGCTGGGACTACAGGCAAGTGCCACAGTGCCTGGCTAACTTTCATTTTATTTAATTTTTTTTGTAGAGATGGAGTTTTGCTATGTCGCCCAAGCTCATCTTGAACTCCTGGTCTTAAGCAATCCTTCATTTCAGCCTTCCAAAGCACTAGGGTTACAGGCATGAGCCACCCTGCCTGGCTGATTTTATTTTTTTGTTTTTAAAGTTGGAGATCCAGCTGGAGTGCAATGACTGTTTACAGACACAATTATAGCTCACTGTAACCTCAACTCCTGGGCTCAAGGGATCCTCCTGTTTCAGCCTCTTAAGTAACTGGGACTACAAATGTGTGCTACTGTGCCTGGCTGTTATACCATTTTAATGGATAACTTTATTTCCAACCTTCCTGTGTCAATTTTAGATTTTTTTTTTTCATAAATAGCATATAAGTGAATTAAAGAGGGCAAAGGTCATTATGAACTTCTGTATTTGAATAAAGATTTGACCCATTTATATCTGTTATTATGAGTATAAATATACTTTTACTTACTTTGGCAATACCATTTTTGTTCCTATTCACCATGGGTTTTCTTTGCTTATTCATTTCCCCTTCATTCTTGCCTTCTGTTGAATTGACTTTATTATTTTTTTCCTGTACATGTTTGTAAATTACACAGCTCTCTCTTATTTTTTTTGTGGATAATCTCCTTTGACAGTTCAATTTTTTTGGAGGTATTCTCCTAAATGGCATTCTCTATAGGGTAGTTTTGCAGTTGCCTTAGCCCCAGCTCCCCAGGGCTTGGAGTTGGAGATGCCGATGCCCTAAAAGTGGCATCTTCTTGGTTCATCTTGTGCCTTTCTGATTCACAACTTTGTCTTGTGGTCATCTCCATGTGGATGGAGTAGTTTTGAACTTCATATTGACATGGGGAGCAATTTCTTTCTTAGGCCCCATCTGTGTTTCTGGTCATGGGCAAGCAGTATGTTTCCAGACACATGGGTAGGTGGGTGAGTAGAGTCTGCCGCCTCCCTGGTGGGCAGGCTATGTGTTCATGGCTTC